GGCGGGCTTTGAGACCCTGCGGACGCCGGGTTCCGCCCCGGGAGGTGAGCGCATCTGGGGGAAGCACCTAGGTGGGGTTTGCAGGTGGAGAGCTGGGGGCTGAAGTAAGGGAGAGGAGGCTTTGGGAGGTCGCACAGAGCTTGGCTGGGATGTCCCTGGCTTGAGTTGGACTTACCTTCAATTCTCAGCTGCCGCTGCTCCGTTCAATCATCATCATTGTTATCATCGTCACCAAAACAACACCCCCACCACCACCAGCTAGTATGTAGTGATCACGTCCTGTGCCCCAAGCACTGTTCAAAGCACTTTGCACCGATGAAATCATCCCTCCCAAAAAATCCCATTTTACGCATGAAAAAACTGAGGCACAAAGTCATGAAGTGATGTGCCTGACGACAAACGGTGGAAAATGGAGGAGCCAGCGCTGCAGCTCAGATCTGTCTGGCTCCCGGATCTGTACTTTTGAAAACATCACTATGCTTTCTTTCTCTGTGACATTAGGTACATAGTTTGCCCCTCTGAAGTACAGAATGGAAATATGTGTACAGTAAATGATAGCAACCCCAATTTTTTAATTTCTTCTTCCTTCAGTGTGTGTCTCCTTGATTCTCTGGGCTCTGGACACACAGTAGGTACTCAATAAATGTTTGTTAATCTATGAGTAATCTGAAAGCTGCAGCTGGAGCCAGGGTGGCCTGTCCAGCCAGGTTGGATGGTAGAAGCCAGCAGTTAAATGTTTCTGGCCTGAACACTTGCCCATCTTCATTTCTCTGTAATGACAGCCTGTCTGACATCCTTGTCCTACACGTTTGTGTGGCTTACTTGCAGACCAGCAGCGTCTGCCCTCTGCTATGAGCGAGCAGGGTCACCCTGCAAGGATGAGCTTCCAGGAGGTAACCCTGGTCAGCCAGGCCATGGGGAGCCTCCACTGGAAGGTATGTAAAATCTCTACAGACCATGAAGTAGTCAAATACATGGAATGTGCATATGTTTGAGGACAGAAGTAAGATAATGAGACATCATCAATGAACATATTTGTTGAAAACTGTAAGACAGCAGCCCCACCAGAAGCCCTTATACTGCTAAAATCTCCTGACCTGGATGTCATAGGACATTGTCACATGTGAATGGGGTCATGAGGAGTTGGGACAACCTAAGGTCTTTGGAAAGAATGCACCAGGTTCCTATTCACAGCATTTTAGGCCTAAAAAATTCCCAGCTTTCTCTCTCTTCTCCCACCTTTCCCATGAGTGTTCCTTCCTACCTCCCAGAACCCCCTAATGGAGAGGCCTCTCACCCCACTGAAGGTGTTCACATCTCTCAACTAGGATGGGTTCTCACATTTCTCAAACTCTCAACCCTCATCACCCCTAAACTCTAGCAAATGTGTAGTTTCTTCTGCTTGGCTTGTCCTCTTCACTACTTGGAAACCTTCTATAGATCCTTCAAAACCTCATTCTGTTTGCTCCTTCTGACCCAATAATTAACTTTTCGTTCCCTCAGTCTGGCCCAGGAGCCTCTTGACTAGCTCTCCCTTGTTTAGCACTGGTGAGTTTATTGTCAGTCTCCCCAGCTATGCTTGTGAGTGCCTTGAAGGCAGAGGTGTGGCACATAGTAGGTGCACAGTTAATGCACTGCTGAATGAATGAATCTAAGTAGGATGAATTTCCCAAGACTGAAGTTGTCAAGTCAAGGGGAAAACCACCCAGCAAAGCAACTGGTGGAGCTGGATGAGTGATACGAAAAGATGAAAAGTGGGCATAGCAGCCAAGAGATGTGCCTTTCTCAAGATCTGCATTTAACATTCCCAGCAAAGGCCAGAGACAGTTCACCAGGATAATGTTTGCACAAACATCTAACACAGGGGCTGGCAAAGGAAGTTATTTTCCCTTCCTCTGATGTGGTCTTGAAGATGAAGAGAAGGTCACCCACTAGACAAAGCGACGGGAAGGCAGTTTCAGGCAGAGGGACTAGCATGGGCAAAGGTATGAGAACATCAGTTACACTCAGGGAAGTGCAAATGGTCTGGGGCAGGTTGGTGGTGGAGGGCGGAGGAAGATAAAACTGTGCAGACACGTGGCGCCCAGAGTGAAAGGCTTTTTGTTTCTTTTAAAGAGTTTGGACCTCAGGCTTGGAGGCCTGTGAGCAGAAAACCCCAGGAAGGGAAGGTGGGTGGGCACCAACACCAGCGTTATTATCTGACAGTCGGCTGGGGGCTGGTTGAGCTAATGAGACAGGCAGTGGATGGTGGCGTGGGCGGGAGCCCTGCTTGCCAATACAGCTTGTTTGAAACGCTCGCTGTAGACATGATGGGGAAATGCTGTAGGTGTTAAACCCAGCAGCTGTGCTCGGGGACCTGGGGACTCCGGGCCTGATGAATAATGGAGCAGCCCTTCCTCTCTGGGCCGCTTTTCTCTCGGTTCAATAATTCATGCATTCCCTTGGTTGAGGAGTTTATAAAACCTCAGCCTTTTCTGAATCCTGAGCCAATCTGAGCAAATCTGATGGCTTCATGCATTAGGTCTTAATTAGAAACACACATACATGGGAGCACACTCAGCAGCACGCGCCTTGTGTTTACATCCAGTAAAATGCCCAGCTATGCCTGCGAGGACATCAAGGAGGGGAGGAGGAGGAGGAAAGGTCTGGCCAGACCCCTTGGCGGTGGAGGTGGGGGCTGGCTGCCCTGAGAGGGACGGGTTGGTTGGCACGGTCCACAGGAAATACATTTTTGGGGTAGGAGGCTGTTTGTTTTGATGCTCAATACCCTTTGAAGTCAAGCTGGTCCAGGGGACCTGCTTTGGCCAAGAAATATGAGCAGAAGTGACATGTGTCTCTTCCTGGTGGAAGCTGTAGGAGCCCCTGAGTGCTCTGCCATCCCATTTTCCCTGCCTTTGGGATTGTAGAGACACGAGTCAGGACGGAGCATCTGTCACTCTGAATCTCCGAGTCATTACACAGAGTAGAATTTCCCTGCTGACCTGTGATATACACACAGCTTGAGCAAGAAAAAAGAAAGTTTGTTGCGAAGTCACTAAATTGGAAGGGTCGTTTGTGGCTGCTGTACAGGGAGGTCTAACCTGACTCAGCTCTCCTGCCCGCCTTCCCTTTTTTGTGCCTTCTAGGGACCCCTGATCATTCACTCAGAAGCATATGGGTTATGGTCTCAGTGTCATGAGGCAATGGTGTGGGGACCCCGCAATTCCAGGTCTAAGTGGTCACGAACACTGGTGGGGATAATGGGTAACAGACAGAGGAAGGCTCCTTCAGAAGTGTTGGGATGGAGATCAGAGTTTCTCAGCAGATTCAGATGGAGTTTGAAATGGGCATGGACTCAAGGCTTGCGGGGTTTCCATGTGTGGGTGTTACGGGGAGAGGGGCAGTTGGAAGGAAGGGGAGAAGGCCCGGTAAAAGTGTCAGAGGGTGGGTAAGGGCGTGGGCAGAACTGGGCAAGGCCAGAGAGAAGGGAACTGAGCTTGATGTACAGTTGCTCCTGTGGAGGGCTGATTAATAATAATAATGTTAGTATCTATTACCAGGAGTACCAGTACTCTGCTAAGTACTTTCCATGTGATGGCACATTTGGTTCCCACAACAACCCTAAGAGCTAGGACGTTAGTGCCCTCTATTTCCAGATAAGGAAATGGAGGCTTAAAGAAGCAATTTGTCCTAGAAATGGCAAAATGATAATGCTCAACGGAGGATGGCATGTTCAGGCTCCACCTGTATCTGTGTCGCCCATGTCATGAGTGGGGACCACAGCCAGAATCTTTAGGCTGGATGTCAGGGCCCAGGCATGCAGAATCTCGTCTCAGCAGGGAACTCAGGGAGCTGTTTGGGACCCACACGTTTCGGATGACTGGGCAAACAAAGAACGCTGGGGTGACAGGGTCACTGGCCACGAGAATATTCAGGGCTCAAAGGATACTGGGCTCCAAGAAGCAAGAGACTGAGTCTCTGTTCTTCCTCAAGGGGGATGCTGGGCCAATCAGCGATGCTTCCTGGCTAGCTGGTCGGCAGGACCTAGAAGGCGGGCTGTGCTGAACCGCCAGGTGAGATGGCTAACTCACCTGCTCTTTCTTGCCCACGGATGCGTGGATTCAACCCCGTAAGTTTCCCTCCTCTCCTCCTGGACTTGACTTTGCTGGTGAAGGAAGGGTTGACTGGGACATTGGGTCTGCCTCACCCAACCCCCTGTCTTTCAGACCTCACCACACCCCTCCTTTTCTATCTCCTCTCTCTCAGGTCAGTCTGAGCTGCTTTCCGCACTCCCAGCTCGTGTCCCTCTCCTCCACACAGTCCACCAAGTGGCTTGTCAGGTTTTCCAATGAGGCCTGCTAAGAACTGACATCTTTTCTTCAGTTTGGATGTGCTCTCTCCTCCTCTTGGTGCAGCGGAGTGTGAAGCCTGGGAGTGTTCACACGGCCGTTCATGTCCTTGCCGGGTGACCGAGCAGGCGCCTGTATTCCCCCCACTGGCCGTTCTCCAAGCTGCCCTCCCTGTCCCCCAAGACCAGCTGTTCAGCCTCTGCTCTCATAATTTGTCCCCTTGGCAACTAGATCATTGCTTATAAAACAGTTCCAAGGGCAGGGGAACCCGTCAACCAAATGAAGACTCTTCTCCATTCTGACCGCTGAGAAAGTTGCTGGGTGTTAAAGGAAATGGCATTAAAATGAGGGTCCTGGTTGGGGCTGAACACAGCAGGGGCAGGGCAGGCAGAAGAAAGAAGACCGTGGCAGGAAAAGACTGAAGGTGGCCCCGGGAAGATGGCCCTCAAACACCTGGACAGGTCCCTGCAGGACTCAGGAAGCAGGTGGTTGGAGGAGAATCTTTGCAGAAGGTAGTGAT